TGAGACAGAGTCTCACTTTGTTGCCCAGGCTAGAGTGAGTGCCGTGGCGTCAGCCTGGCTCACAGCAACCTCAAACTCCTGGGCTCAGCGATCCTCCTGCCTCAGCCTCCCGAGTAGCTGGGACTACAGGCCCACCTACTACGCGCCACCATGCCCGGTTAATTTTTTGTATATATATTTTTAGTTGGTCAATTAATTTATTTCTATTTTTGGTAGAGACGGGGTCTCGCTCAGGCTGGTTTTGAACTCCTGACCTTGAGCAATCCGCCCGCCTCGGCCTCCCAGAGTGCTAGGATTACAGGCGTGAGCCACCACGCCCGGCCAGAATAATTTTCTTGAAACTCACTCAGATTGTTGCATATAAAAAACAATTTTTTTTTGTTTTTGCTGAGTCACAGTTGCATGAATTGACTTTATCCATTTTCCTGTTGAGGGGCATTTGTGTTGCTTTCAGTTGTTGGCTGTTATAAATAAAGCTGCTATGAAAAATGTGTGTTGGGGTTTTTTGGGGCAGACATTTCCCTGGGGGAAAATTGGGGAGTAAAATGCTGAACCATCTATTACGTCCTCCCCATTGTTTCCTGATTTTTGAAAAACTTTGATGAAGATCTGATACGCGTACAATCCAATGACGGCAGCATTGAGAATACAGAGACTGGAGTCACATCTAATGAAGCCGGTCAAAGATCCAGGAATATCTGGGTGGGACATGGACAGGTACTTGCAATGAGTGACTTGGGATTGGGTATGCGACAATTCCACTTTTCTCAAGTATTTCAGAGACTTAAAAAAGAAGGCTGGGCTGACACTGGAGTGATACATTTGTTTATTAAGCTATTCATTCAACTGTTTATTGAACAGCTACTATATCCCAGGGAGTCCAACGAGGACTGGGGATATCAAAGTGAACAATATGGACACGATTCTTGTGCTTAGTTGAGCTTAGGGTCAAAACTAAAAGGATGCTTATATGTCTACTTGGCAGCCCTTTGACAACTTATTAGCATCCTTTGTGATCTATCTACCCATAGACCAGGTTTTCTATTTTCTCCCTCACTTCTTCCTGGCTTCCTTTGTGTTAGGCAAATTAATTTCTTTATTGCCTCCTATGGTTTTAGATTTTGCTTCAAATTTTATCACACGGAATGCCTTCTTTTCTCCCCACCTTGTCAAATCTTGCCAGCAGCTTTCCATACTTGATCTTAGCCAAAATGCCAAGAAGCAATTGCCAGCAATTTTTTTTTTTTTTTTTTTTGGAGACAGAGTCTCACTTTGTTGCCCAGGCTAGAGTGAGTGCCATGGTGTCAGCTTAGCTCACAGCAACCTCAGACTCCTGGGCTCAAGTGATCCTCCTGCCTCAGCCTCCCGGATAGCTGGGACTACAGGCATGCGCCACCATGCCCGGCTAATTTTTTCTATATATTTTTAGTTGGCCAATTAAGTTATTTCTGTTTTTAGTAGAGACGGGGGTCTCGCTTTTGCTCAGGCTGGTTTTGAACTCCTGACCTTGAGCGATCCTCCCGCCTCGGCCTCCCAGAGTGCTAAGATTACAGGCGTGAGCCACTGCGCCCGGCCGCCAGCAGATTTTTAAACCCTGCCTTGGAAAACCTGGAGCTTTTCTGACTCATTTGGTCTGGAGTGCAGTCCGAGCGTTATGATTTGTAACAACTGCAAAGACGATTGTAATGTGTAGCCAGGGTTGAGAAGCTAAGTGATTTTCTTGACATCATTTCCTATGATTGTACTTGACTGTAACATTTCTCTGTTCCTTTGCATTTTCTTCTATCCCCTATCACGGGAGAAGGGGCCCTCCTTTTTTTAAAGGTGAACCTTTGCATCAGGGTTTTATACCCGTCTCTTTCACCATGTCCAAGATGTGTCTATATCAACCATTGCTCTATTTCCTTGTATTTTCTGTCTTGCTCTTCTGACTCCTTCCTCCCTGGGAACGCATGCTCAGGTGTACTAGAGCCCATGAATGCTCTTTGCACTAATTTTTCCATCATCAAATTCCTCCGAGGGGACCTTAACACATACTATTTCTTTATCCACTCCCTCCTTAATCCCTCACAATCGGCTTCCATCCCCACACAAATGGACCTGATATTTTAAAGCTCAAGCAAGAATGCATGGTAGGTGCTTAATACGTATTTGTTGAATGAATTGGTAAACCCACGAATACATGACTCTTTCTAATCACCATATCAATGATGTTTAATCAGTTCCTATGATCCAAGGCCAGTCAGGCCCATGACTCTGTCCTAGTCTTCTTCCTTTTATTATTATTATTTATTTCCCAAATTCTGTGGGTACAAAATATTGTTAGGGTTACATGTCTTGCCCCTGCCCCCCCCCCGCCCCACCCCACTCTGCCAGAGCTTCAAGCGTGTCCAGTCTCCAAGTGGTGCGCCCTGCACCCACCATGAAAGTGCATACCCTTCCCCTTCTCCCCCCTTCCACCTGTTCACTTCCCATTAACAAATTTTTTCTTTTTTTTAGACATTTTGGTTACAGTGTGTTTCTTTGCCTCTCCCTAAAAAGGGATAGAGGTAATCCCTTCCCCCCTACAATGCTCATCACATCCTTAAGATGTGGGTCTCCCCGACCAGATCCCTGTTGAACACTGCAATTATTTGAACACCATAGTTTTGGGCTGTCAGTACCAATTTGATGGCGAGTAGACGTGTAGCCCATTTTGCAGGTCTTGAGTCGTCTCGCTTTGTATTACAGGCTTAAGCTTAATCCACGATAGCATGAACGGTGCTAGCTCACTGCCGTCATCCTGTTTGTTTCTTTTTTTTCCTTTTCCAAACATTCCTCTATAATCCACTTTTAAGGGATGTGTGTTGCTCAATGTTTAAGGGTTCTGGCATTCCAATCAGGCCCTTGACACTTCCTAGCTGTATAACTTATGACAAACTGCCCCACCTCAATGAACCTCACTTCTTTATCCATAGAGAGGAGATAATTACATAATGGGATGTTTTAAAGGTTGATGCGATATTTGAGTGCCATTGCAAAAACAATAAAAGCTCAGTGAGTGGGAGTGGGTATTAGCATTCCCGTGGCGATAAGCTCCCTATGGGCAGTGGCCCTGCCATGTTTTCCACCACTGTGATTCTGCCCTCAATATCTGCATGGTATTCAGCACAAGGAGCTTGGGAGCTCATTCACTCTTCAGCATTCTCCTTCGCGCCGATGGCTGCTGCATCTAAACTGAAATCAGACTTGGCCTCTGTGCTCTCCACATTTGTTGTCTCTTAGAAGTTTCCCAACAGAACATTCCCAGATGCATCCCTTTGATACTTGAAACTCTCTACTCTTAAAAAAAAAAAACAAAAAAACACTATTCTCTCCCCTTAATCCTTATTATTCATATATATTTACTTATTACATGTATTTCTTTCTTGCACTTATATATTTGGAATGGCCTCCAGACAGTTCTTCCTGCCTCTTTGCTTCTTGGCTCTAAGATAATTGCACTTGCAACATGCTCTCTTCCTAATGTGTAGCTTAATATATCAGCTACCTCTACACTGACAACCAGAACCAAAAAATAATAATAATTTTTTTAAAAGTTCATGCTCCTTATTCTGCCCTTAACTTGACTTTTATTTTATTTATTTATTTATTTTGAGACAGAGTCTCACTTTTTTGCCCAGGCTAGAGTGAGTGCCGTGGCATCAGCCTCGCTCACAGCAACCTCAAACTCCTGGGCTCAAGCCATCCTCCTGCCTCAGCCTCCCGAGTAGCTGGGACTACAGGCATGCGCCACCATGCCCGGCTAATTTTTTTTCTATATATATTAGTTGGCCACTTAATTTCATTCTATTTATAGTAGAGACGGGGTCTCGCTCTTGCTCAAGCTGGTCTCGAACTCCTGACCTCGAGTGATCCGCCCACCTCTGCCTCCCAGAGTGCTGGGATTACAGGCGTGAGCCACAGCGCCCGGCCTTGACCTTTATTTTAACAGAAAACTTTCTTTTATCTATAAGTAAAAAATTAAAAAATATTTCTTTGCTAAGCAAGCAACATGTAGGTACATTATTATTGTCAAAAATAATAGCTGGAATAACACAGATGTGTCAAAATAAAGGGAAAATCTCCACTTTGCTGCGGCTTGCCCCTTTCTCACTACTGTTGTTTGATTAATTTATTTGATTCCTATTATCAGTTTGGGATTATCAGCTTTTTCAGACGTTTTACATATATTCATGAACATCTGCGTATTTGATTTTACATAATGTAAATGGGGCCATGCTGTATTTATTAATGTGAAACTGGACTTTCCCCCCTCTTTATTATATTATATCTTGGAGATGATCTTGGAGAGATCTTTGTTCTGCTTCACCCTACAGAGCATGTTATTCTCCAATGCAGTTGCACCATAATATGGACGAGCCTTTATTGATCAATGATAAACTCTACTTTGCTATGTTTATTTCTCGTGACTTTCATATACGTAAATTTTTAACCAAATAAAAAAAAAGCACATTTCAAACTTTTTTGTCTTCACCTCTTTGAGCATGCCATTCTCCTCCTATTCTTTACAGAGAAACTCCTACTCATACTCCAAAACCCAGCTCAAATGTAAACTTACACATGGAGTCCTCTGCACCATGTTAAAGGTGATGTCTTATACCTCTTACTCTTCCTCCTCAATCATTCGAGCGTAGAAACTGAGGTTTTTGAACTCGGACAGAGTTAAACCTAGTGTCCTACATATAGTAAACTCTGAATCCATTTATTGCCTAAATAGGGAAACAATTTTTAGTATTTTGTTATCTAACTTGTATGCACATGTACATTATAAGCACCTCCAATGTAAAAATGTACCTCTAGTGGTTTCAAATAATGTGTACTGTGATGATTTGTATGCTGGTGCAATGGCTGCCATATTGTGAACAAAGGCGGGTCCTTTTCTTACCAAATTGCACCAAAAATGCCCTTCAGTCGATACATTATGGGAAGCGACTGCAAAGAAAAGAGAATGAACTTGCCAGGATCTCCAAGAGGATTTAGAATTGAGCTGGATAATCCTAAAAGAAGTGTGTGTGGGGGGGTAGAATTGAGTGGTATCTCCATTGTTGATCCCTTTCCACCCTTTTTTTCAGGGAAAAGAATTCTACATTCCAGCAGAGAACCACGGCAGTTTGTTCTGGAATGGTTATAGATCCCGCAGTAGCAATCCAGATATTCCCTGGGTTGAGTTGCTCCTGAATCTTGTCTCCTCCTAGACATCCTAAGGATGTGCATCTACAGATTCCTTCCTTATCTGAACTGGTTGAGTTTCTATGACCTGCAGTGGAAAGAGACTCACCGAATTGTATGGGAGGTTTAATTAATTTTATATATTTCTTCCGACTCTATTTTCTCCCCATCTCTTTTTAGAGGATGTATGTATGCTGATTACGTCCTCTAAATCTAATTGTTTAATCTCTGCTTTCTAACTCCCAAAATATTCACAGGGTGGAAAATGTTTAATTTTGCGAAGGTATGCCAAAAGTGATCTACAAAAATGGCTTAAAATTGGAGGCAGAATCTTATGCTAAAATGAATGGCAAGGAATAAAGAAACTGTGATGTGGTTTGTGCTGATCTGGTCTTTCATCCGTTCTATTCAATCTACAATAACGAGAAGTGGGAATTTATGTATGTTTAGTACCCACTCAGTTCAACTATGTCATGAAGTTTACTCATGTCATGTAGATATTGTTATCCTGATTTGAACCATTTTTTAAAAAAAATCGAATAATTTTCAGAGTTCCGTTCTTGCCCAAGGTCATCTAACTATTTGGTAGAATAGATGGAAGATTAGAACCCAGCTGGGTCTGATTTCTCAATCTTCCTTCTCCAACATCCAGGATGCTGTGCAATTAGGTTGGATATTGATTGTGCTCCTAAAGTATATTTGCAACTTTAGGCAACTGTCTTGAAGTTCATGCTTGAAGTTTCATTCATGGCTTGATCATTATTTTTGGGGGGGACAGGGAAACAAAACCAATCATTTTCTAGGGAGAAGTATATTGCTAACTAGAGAGTAAGAGATTTGAATTTGGAGATGTGCGTTCTAGTCCTATTTTTGTCCCATTTCCACCAAAGACTCTGCGCTTATGAGGCTCAACTTTTCTTAGACCTTAGTTTCTTCCTCAAATGAATGGCATAAATGTGGATCATCTCTATGTCTATTCTAGCATTTTGCTAGTGGTAAGCGCTTCCCCAGCACGCTGTACGTTAGAGATCATGTCACCTTGTGTTATTATTTGCCGGCTACCGTCACATCTTATTCAACTCTGTGTTCCCCGAAGAGATCATCAATAAATATTTGTTGAATAAATAAATGAGGCAATGAGGCATGTTTACTCTTGCGTACAAAACATTACTTTTCATTTTGCTTGTGTGTGTGTGTGTGTTTTTTTTCTTTCACTGGCCAAAGAAGTAATCTTTGAAATTGCAGAAAATATCTCTAATTTTGCTGGTGAGAAGTAAAAATAGGTTAATAATAGAATCGAGTACTCCAATATTCTATACAACTGTGTGGATTTTACACAGGACTTTCCTTTAATTAGAAGCCCAAGATAAATAAGGAGTTCATGCAACTTTAAAAATAAGAGATGTATTTTCATGTGTAAAATGGCCATTTTAGAGAGTCATAGTAATTCAACTTTTAAGGCTGGGTAACTGAGCCATTCTGGTGAACTTTCTGTGTGAATGAACCCTTCCTTAATCGGCCTTTTCCGTATTATTCCATCCTGGGAAAGAAAAGCAATAGTAGCTAAGCCAGAAACAAGCAGGATAACCAAAAAAAAAAAAAAAAATCCCTTTTCAATAAATGGTGCTGGGAAAACTGGATAGCCACCTGTAGAAGGCTAAAACAGGACCCACACCTTTCACCTCTCACAAAAACCAACTCACGCTGGATAACAGACTTAAACCTAAGGTATGAAACTATTAGAACTCTAGAGGAAAGAGTTGGAAACACTCTCCTAGACATTGGCCTGGGCAAAGAGTTTATGAAGAAGTCCCCAAAGGCAATCACAGCAGCAACAAAAATAAATAAATGGGACATGATCAAACTACAAAGCTTCTGCACAGCCAAAGAAATAGTCATGAAAGTAAACAGACAACCTACAGAATGGGAGAAAATTTTTGCATCCTACGCATCCGATAAGGGACTGATAACTAGAATATACTTAGAACTCATGAAAATCAGGAAGAAAAAACCAAATAACCCCATTAAAAAGTGGGCAAAGGACTTGAACAGAAATTTTTCTAAAGAAGACAGAAGAATGGCCAATAAACATATGAAAAAATGCTCAACATCTCTAATCATCAGGGAAATGCAAATCAAAACCACAATGAGATATCACTTAACCCCAGTGAGAATGGCCTTTATAAAAAAAATCTCCAAACAATAAATGCTGGCGTGGTTGCAGAGAGAGAGGAACACTCCTACACTGCTGGTGGGACTGCAAACTAGTTCAACCTCTGTGGAAAGCAATATGGAGATACCTTAAAGCGATACAAGTGAATCTACCATTTGATCCAGCAATCCCATTGCTGGGCATCTACCCAAAAGATCCAATGACACTCTACAAAAAAGACACCTGCACTCGAATGTTTATAGCAGCACAATTCATAATTGCAAGGCTGTGGAAACAGCCCAAGTGTCCATCAATCCAAGAATGGATTAATAAAATGTGGTCTATGTATACCATGGAGTACTATTCAGCTCTAAGAAACAACAGTGATATAGCACATCTTATATTTTCCTGGTTAGAGCTGGAACCCAAACTATTAAGTGAAGTTTCCCAAGAATGGAAAAACAAGCACCACATATACTCACCAGCAAATTGGTATTAACTGAACAGCACCTAAGTGGTCACATAGGTACTGCAGTAATAGGGTATTGGGCAGGTGGGAGGGGGGAGGGGGGCGGGTATATACATATATAATGAGTGAGATGTGCACCATCTGGGGGATGGTCATGCTGGAGACTCAGACTTGTGGGAGGAGGGGGGGAAATGGGCATTTATTGAAACCTTAAAATCTGTACCCCCATAATATGCCGAAATAAAATAAAAAAAAGAATCTGTGGCAAAGCAACAGGATTAACTTTTTTTTTAATCCCATTACTTGTGTTTGTGAAGAAGTAAGCAACGTGGTTTTTTGTCTTTGTTTAGACATTGGACAATAAAAATCACAAGAATATATATTTTTGACATACTTTTTTTTGGTGTTCTTTGGAATTTGGACCCTAATTAAAAAATATGTGTTTCCTAGCCCTTCTTACTGTGAAAATCCTTGGCAATATAAACAGATGCACTGGTTGGCTTTTAATTCTGACACCAGACTGTCTGAAATAATAGCTCTAAGAAAGTGTGAATTCTTTCATTCCTCAAGCTTCAATTATAAGTACTTAATTTGTTTCTCTTTCTACTGCTGACTATCATACCAATCTGGTTTAGTTTTCATCTGGCTAAACACGGTGCACAGGAGAAATCCCTCATTTTGGAAAGTTTCTTCTGCACGGGAAGACAGAAACAAGCTACAAGTCTGAGTTATTTTCAGACTCCAGGGCATGTCACTGTAATTTAACAATTAAGATATTAAGTAGCGTTCTGAAAATTTCAGTTAATATAGGCCCGTAAGATGACAGAATTAGGATCCTTGATAAGCAGTTTGAAAACACTGAATATTTCTCATAAAAGTCGATTCATCGCTTGATAAATGAGCCAAGTTAATAGCGTACTAACTCATCTTGACCTTTCACAGTCAAATATATCCTTCATTTTTTGTGTCCACTACTTTTTGTGCCTTGTAACCAATTAGCTGGCATGATGTTTTCACTCTGGGATGCAACTGTCCTAAGGACTGTGGATATTTTGGAAGAACTGCTAGGACTGACCTTCATGAATACTGTCCTAGTTCCACTTTTAAAATATCTCTCTGTAGAGGTGTGTTTGTATTTTCCAGGGCCAAAAAGCAAACCAACGAAAGGCAAATGATTGCTGGAACTCATGGTAAACTTAATGAAGAAGGTGTCTTGCTTTTCCATTTGTTTCCTTTCTAAGTCTACCGCTATATGCGTGTGTACACTTTGAGACGTTTTTGCCAGTTGTTTTGGTGCCTAAGACTAAAGAAGTTTATTTCCCACTTGTAAATATGATGGCCAGAATGATTCAGCCTAAAATGTAATGAGGTATATGGTTGGAATTGTTACGCCCTTTATTTTTATTATCTCACTTAAATCCTCATGACAATCTTAAAGGCATTTTGCTAGTGCTGTTTCCCCCAAAATAAGACCTACCCTTAAAACAAGCCTTAGCAGGATTTCTAAGCATTTGCACAATAGAAGCCCTCCCCCAAATGTAAGACCTAGTGATGGGCATGGCTGCGCAGCGCATCTGCACAACCCATGCATTTCATCATAGAGCAGTAAAGAAGATGAGCAGCCCTTCTCATCTGCCCCATGAGAGCTCTATGGCTTGACATGAGAGATTGGGGCCAGTGGTTCTAAAGGAAATAGAGTCGCAAGAAATTCAGGATGGAATTCGAGGTTTGGAGAGTTAGGATGGTGTTCCAGAAGAAGACGACTTCACTCTATTTGAATAAATGTAGATTGTTGTACTGTACTTAAAAAAAAACAACATATCCCCTGACAATAAGCCCTATGGTGTCTTCTTGAGGAAAAATAAATATAAGACCCTGTCTTATTTTGGGGGGAAATGTGGTAGTATCTCCATTTTAGAGATGAGGACACTGGGACTTAGTGATGCTAAGTACCTTACCTGAGGTCACAGAGGCAGGAAGTGTTAGAAGCAAGCACTTGAACCAGGAATGGCCAGAGAATATATCACCCAGTTTTCCCTGCTCCTAGGCACTGCAGCTAGTAATGTACCTAATGTTTTGCACACGTGACCCTATTTTATCCTTCCTAAAACCATTAATGTTGGTCATATCATACCTATTTTACAGATGGAGAAACCCAAACTGTGAAAAAACAATTTTGTTCAAGCTCACACAGTTGGTACGTAATA